GTGCAGCCCGACTCACATCCAGTGCAGCCCAACTCACATCCAGTGCAGCCTGACTCACATCCAGTCCAGCCTGACTCACATCCAGTCCAGCCTGACTCACATCCAGTCCAGCCTGACTCACATCCAGTCCAGCCTGACTCACATCCAGTCCAGACTGACTCACATCCAGTCCAGCCTGACTCACATCCAGTCCAGCCTGACTCACATCCAGTCCAGCCTGACTCACATCCAGTCCAGCCTGACTCACATCCAGTGCAGCCCGACTCACATCCAGTGCAGCCCGACTCACATCCAGTGCAGCCTGACTCACATCCAGTCCAGCCTGACTCACATCCAGTCCAGCCTGACTCACATCCAGTCCAGCCTGACTCACATCCAGTCCAGCCTGACTCACATCCATTGCAGCCCGACTCACATCCAGTGCAGCCCGACTCACATCCAGTGCAGCCTGACTCACATCCAGTCCAGCCTGACTCACATCCAGTCCAGCCTGACTCACATCCATTTCCAGTTTCTCCAGCAGCTGCTGCCTGCGATGCCGACTGCGCTTGGCGGACTCGCGATTCGACACCATCCTGCCAGGCGAACGGACCAATGATTGGGAAAGGGGAAAAAACTAAGGGGCCAACAGGGGGAGATGCTCGTCTGGGAAGACGCCAGGTGGAAGGAAAGAATAGAAAAGAAGCAGATAGAAGCAGATAGAAGCAGATAGAAGCAGGTAGAAGCAGATAAAAGAAGATAGAAGCAAGAAACACGAACGAAGCAGTGCCGGCCAAGGCACTCGGCGCGCACGGACCTTCTCTGCTTGCGATCATCGGCCGCATCATCATCCCCATCGCCCATCGTCCCCTTGCCGCCCTCCGCCCCATGCCCCCCAACGCTGCTCCCTTCCCCGCCTGCGCCCACTGCCGGCACACCAGCGCCTGCAGCTGCAAGCACAGGGCTGCCCCTGAGAGCGTTGCTGCCGCTCGCTCTGTTCACCTGCCCCTCGGCACCAGCACCAGCCGCACCCACTCCCTGCATGGCGATACTATCACCGGCAGTTCCGAAGGCAGTGGCAGGGGGAGCAGCAGCAGTAGCGGTGGCGGCGGGCAGTGCAGTGGTGAAAGGGAGCTCGTGGTTCGATGGGAGTACGGCGGCGGGCCTCGGTGGATGGGTAAAGGGAGAGGCGGGGGGGTGCAGAGAAGAAGGGAGGGGGGCCTGGGTTGGGGTCTGGGTGGCGGAAGGTTGGGGCAGGGGAGGGGGCTGGGATAGGGTCTGGGTAGAGGAGGGCTGGGGAAGCAGGTGCTGCCAGGGCAGGGGCAGGAAGGCAGCAGCAGGGAGTGTTTTTTGAGGCGCCTCAAAAATCGGCAGGAAGGCAGCAGCAGGGAGTGCGACCGGGGGAGGCAGACAAGAAAGCGGAACATCTGCTGCTGCTGGTTCCGCTGGTGCTGCTGGTGTTGCTGCTGGTGCTGCTGCGTCGCTTGCATCCCCATCCGACCCCTCCACGTGGAATCTGCGCAGCAGTTGCGTCCCCTGCTGCGGCTCCTGGAAGTTGTATTCACGTTCCCCTGTCACTCCGCCACCCATCGTGCCGCCACCCGTTCTTCCGCCACCCGTCAATCCGCCACCTGTCGTTCCGCCAGCCGTCGTTCCGCCACTCGTCATTCCGCCACCCGTGACTCCGCCACCCGTGATTCCGCCACCCGTGATTCCGCCACCAGTCATTCCGCAACCCGTGATTCCGCCACCCGTGATTCCGCCAGGTCCACCAACCCATGCACTCTCCAGTAGCACCGCGCCAGCCGCCGTGTTCCCTTCCGCGGCGCTGTCAACCCCCTCGCGCGTTCCGCCTGCGCCGGACATCCCTGCAGCGTATTCCGCCGCTGTTCCGCCCGTACCTGCGCGTTCCGGAGAGCGCGCATTTGCGCTTGATTCCTCGGCCACAAGCGCGCGGGACGGCGCAGCAGCGATGGCGGGGTCGGCGTGAAATACGGAGGGGAGCGGTTCGGCGTGGGGGATAAACGACTGGGGCGTCGTGTGAGGACGCGCCGCCTGCAGACGCGGTGTGGAGTACCAAGGCTGCTGATGCGGCTGCTGCGGCTGCTCCGGCTGCTGCGCCTGCTGCGGCGGCTGCTGCTCGTCGAACAGCTGCTGCCACTGCCTCAGCTGACCGCCGCCACCATGATGGGACGCATTTTTTGATTCCGTCAACTCGACCGGCCGCCGTCTCCTCGCCGGCCACTCATGGCACGTCATAGCATCGCCGCTTGGCTTCCACACCGTCTCCTCGTCGCCCCGCTTTCGCTTCCCCACCGCCCACTGCTGCTCGTCGTGCCGCACCTCCCGCTGTTCGTGCCGAGCCTCCCGCTGCTCTGTAGCAGCGAATGCGGCGGCGAAAGGAGCACCGCCCGCGGCACGAGCAGGAGCGGCGACGAGGAAGTGGGTGGGTGGGGAAACAAAAGGAGACACCCTGTCCGACACGAACGGTCCTTTTCCCGCCGGTGGCGGTAAATGTCGCCCCAGCATCACAGGAAAGTCGGTAGCGCAAGGGTCCGCCGCGGCGATGCTGGGAGAAAAGACGTGACGACATGACGATTCGCATGATGTTCCGACTCCCAGAACAGACTTCGCAGGGAGTACGCCCCTCGGGGTACTCTTCAACGAGCCGCGCCAAGGGTCGCAGCTGTTGCTGATGCGCGTTCCGCCGGTTCTTCCACGACAGCCGCCCGTGTCGCTCCCATCCGAAACGCCACTGCTACCGCCGGAACCGCCGTTCTCGTCTGCCGCCGCGTACCGGCCGGGCTTCACATCAACGTTTTCGCGATTTCCGCGGGCGCCATTCATCATCGCGTCATCATGATCGTCGCGATGGTTCGATCCGTTACCCGGCGGCGCCATTGGCGCCATCGGCGTCTCGGAGGGGGGGTAGTAGTAGGACGTGGGAATGTGTCTTGCGACATCGGAACCGCCGCCGCTCTCGCCCTCCTCGTCGCCTTGCGACTCGCCCACCACCGGAACCGCGGACGACGACGGAAATACATTCGCCGCGTGCGACGGTGGGAGCCCGTCACAACGCGACGAAGATGTCGCAAGAAACGAAGATGCCTGTTTCGCAACGGCATGCGTGCGATGGCTCGTCTCCGGCGCGAGCCGCCTGCGCAAACCGGGTTGCAGGGGAGGGATGTGAAAATTCCAGGTCGAAGGGGAGGAGGGGACTCAGACTCTGCAGCAAGACGACGTGAGGAGTCTATTTTTGAGGCGCCTCAAAAATAAACAAGACGACTATCACCGAATGGAGAAATGGAGACGGCGGGGTCAAAATCGATGGATGACGAAAAAGTCGAGACGGTGAAAAGTGGAAGATGAAAATGGGAAGGTGCAAATGGAAGAACATAAGGGAATCGGGGGCGAGCGGGCAAGCAGAAGGCTCACTTTTGGAGCATAATATCGTGCACTTGTCGCTCGATGGCCTTCTCGATCGCCCAGATCGTCAGCCCGTCATTCTGTGGTTGCAAGAATGGAGTCTGACAGCTCCCGGGAGAGCCGCTTTTCAATTTGAACTCGCTGCTAGTAGCATCGCGTTTCGTCATCCTCTGCCGTATCGCCGCTATGGCGTCGGAAACGGTCTGCCGCGCAATGGCCGTATCGCACAGCTGCGCGCCCCCCATCTCGCCAGATTTAGACTATGGACGGAGGAGTTTATCGGCTTGTGACTTCGCGTCGGCACGGCGGCCGTTGAAATGTATCTTTGGTGAGGCGAAGAAAGCAGCCGAAATGAGGTAGGCTTGGGATGGATGTCGGGAAGATGGAAAATGTGGCAAAGCAAAACCATGTGACACGAAGGGAAGGGAAGGATATGGTGGGAGAGGCCAACGGGGTACAGCACTGTAGTCGGGTAGTTGTCAGGTTGTTCCGTTATACGTAGGCTTTCATTTGACAATCCCCAGATTTTTGTGTCGTCGTCACCTGACAGAAGAGAGAATCAAACAGACCAGCACGGATGGAGTGAGGTGTCACGGAGCAACATCCACCAGGGTCCTTGGAGGTGTCACGTACCCAACCCTAATTTCAGGCTATTGTAAAATTCCCCTGCGAGAATCCCCCTTTTTCGCCTGGGTGGAGCATTCAGATTTTCACTTTTGATTGCACGCCATAGCCCGGTACAGTGAGGCACAGCACACCCAGGCCCAGCGCAGCGCCCTTGAAAATGACCACATTTGTTGGCAGAGGTAAATTGATGCCGACGTGGAGCGTGCGACCCCGTGTGTCTCAAGCACCCGCAAATGGAGCCCCACGCATAAAATGCGCTTTTGGTTGGAGCAAGGGAAGTGGGGTGGGGTGAAGTTTTTGGCTGAGTCAGAACTGCCTCGCCTGAATGCCTTTGCTACCATTGGTGGCCCTTGCCACGACACTCGGGAAATCGGCTTGCTGATGCAATGGCACACGCCCGGGATTGACCGCATGCCATCAAATCAAAAGCAGGCAGGAGTCTAGTGGCAGGAATCCTCTCTGAGAAGGGAGATCCAAGCCTTCAGAATTCGGGAGATGTGCAATAGCCTGCGAATTGTTCGGCTTCCATTTCGGGTATTAGATCCCTGCGAAATTGGAACATTACTTACACTACCCATCAAAATCAGGAAAGCACACTGACAGGCCACGGGAATCAGTGAGAAAGTCGTTTGAGAACCCAGACGCAAATAGAGAATCCGCATGGGAATTTCGGAAAGTGGAAGCCAGAATGAGCCCAATGTTTTCTAACACAGCCCCAACAAAGTATGGATATTCACAATACAAACTGTTATCGAGGCAGAAGAAAACACTCCGACAGAATATCTTTTGCAGACGCCATGCGTTTCTGCAAAACCAATCCCAAAATATCCCTCCCCCCCCCAACCCCGCCACATTTGCCTGGAGAGCCGCAGAATTCCGCGTTTGAGAAGGCACGCTAACAAAACCAATGGATCAGGTCAACCTGTTATGATGAAGTGCCTTTCATCACACCTTGTGAAGGGAATTCATGGCGCAGTATCGTTTCCATGTGCCATCATCTGCACGAATCATAAAATAGAACCCAGTCCACGTACACAATCACAACTACACGAGCAAAAAAAAGTGGGTATTAAGCTGCTAGGTACCTGAAACATGGCTTGATCCTGACACCCATTCATTAGCTATGCATGTTGTGCACACAACCTTTGACTCAAAAGCGCCGCATGTCTTTGGGCGGCCGGAAATTGACGGGATGCGTTTCCGGGGTGGCATTTTCATCCTCCTTCCACATTTTGATGGTCTTGTCCGCTTCACACGTCACCAGCCGCTTGCCCGTCACGTCGAATCCCATCGCATATATGCCCGCCTCACTGTCGAGCGACCCTGTGAACGGCGGGAGATTCAAATGGAGGGAGGAATGGAGAAAAGGCAGTAAGTGAAGTGGCAGAGGACCGATGAATGTGAGCATCGAGCAGAGTGGGTGGCAAGGTATGCAGAGAGGCGTTCGTTCAAATGGACCAGCGGTAGGAGCGGACGAGAGCCCAGAGGGAGGCGGCCATTGAATAGAATTGAATTGAAAGACTGTACTGGATGGCGGGTGAGGAAGACTTTGAGGGGAGAAGACGAGAGCGCATGGAGTGAATGCATAAAGAGTGAACATGAAAAACGCAGAGCCATATTGCGGACCTTGCTGCACTGAGGTCGCACCTGGCTGCACTGAGGTCGCACCTGGCTGCATTGAGGTCGCAGCCTGGCTGCATTGAGGTCGCACCTGGCTGCACCGAGGTCGCACCTGCTGCATTGAGGTCTCACCTGGCTGCACTGAGGTCTCATCTGGCTGCACTGGATCTCACCTGGCTGCACTGAGGTCTCACCTGGCTGCACTGAGGTCGCACCTGGCTGCACTGGATCTCACCTGGCTGCACGATGGTCTGTGTCTGTTGGAAGTTGTGGCCGCTCTTCCAGTCCCAGAACCAGATGGACCCGTTGTCGCCTGCACACCGACCACGCACGCATGGGTGGTCGGTGACGCATGTCAAAAGGGTGATGGGAGAAAACGACTTTGAGATGTTTTGAAAAAAGCATGACATTAGGAAGGGTGGGCGAGGTACAGCACGGCAGGGTTTCGAAGATTCAGGTGTGAGATCTGAACGAGGATCTGAACGAGGATCTGAACGAGGATCCAAACGAGGATCCGAACGAGGATCCGAACGAGGATCTGAACGAGGATCTGAACGAGGATCTGAACGAGGATCTGAACGAGGATCTGAACGAGGATCTGAACGAGGATCTGAACGAGGATCTGAACGAGGATCTGAACGAGGATCTGAACAAGGATCTGAACGAGGATCTGAATAGGAAGGGTGTGGCGGGGTCGAGAAGCGGATTGAAGTGTGGAATGGGAAGGGTGTGGGAGAGGGGAGGAGCAGGCGGGCGCACCTCCTGACGCGAGCACGTTGTCCTCATTCACATCCGCCGTGTTGATGATGGTGCGCTGCTGGGAGCTGCCACCCACAGGCACAGTGGGGAGTGTGGGGGGGGGTACCAAGGCAACAGGGAAGAATGGGGGCAGTGCATGATGAGAGCCCTTCAGAATGCTTTTGCTTAAATCCATTCAGGACGGGGGTG